TTTAAAACAGAAGAAATCGTTTTATATAGTCAGAAATTAAATAGACTAAACATCTCCGACCCTTACCGTGCCCCTGGGATACTTTTTAAAAACGCCAGAAGCTGTCGGAGCAGACTTCTTACCGGCACAACACCGGACCGACCGGGGAACCCCTTGGGATTTACCCGGAGGAGCTGGCTCCGGCGGCTGGGGAGAGGGAAGTCACGCTACTGCCCCCGCAACCCGACTCCAGATACGTGGATGAAAATAGATGGATGGACGGACAAATAACAGATTTACACGTAAGTAGTCTCGGTGAGACAGATAATAGCAATCCAAAGTGCTTTTTATGTGTGATCTGACAATTGATCAACCATTGCTTAAAAATTAAATACAGCTTAGCCGGTTAATTGCTGTGATCATAAAACACGTAAACGGCAGCACGCAGAACTCACGAGGCAACGTTTTACATGATGTTTACTTGCTGCTATGAGTAATAAGACAGAAAAAGCCACGCCAAAATAAGTTTAGGAAGCCCACTAAGAATCGTAATAAAAGCATTTAAAATAAATACCGTACACAGTTGAGGAAACGTTGGTTTAAGTACCTGATATGAAGCGGTCGCTGCATAAGAGAAATCCTTTACTCTCGGGATCCCACAGCTTCATTTTAGCCCGGTCACTAGCGCGTTTTATTACAATGATCCAACGTTTGCGGCGCTCCGGATCTTGGGGAATCCTGTAGATGGCTCATTCCTTATGTCGTCCGTGTCTGTTCTGCATCCTGGGGCACAACAGGAATCTACCATATTTCCCGTTTGATTGAGTTTTCTGACAATAACAAATAGTCCAGCTGCGGGCTTCTGCATGCCAATATGGCGCCGTTTCGATTTGAACTGTTGCATGCCGGGAGAAGTGACGTCAACTCCCGGAGCTCTATAGAAGCATGGAACATGGCCCACTCAGGCTCAATGCCCCCTGTTTCCCTCGGGACACGTTCAAAATTCTCTCAGAGGTAGGAATTGAACCCCCTTCTTTCTGGCAGGAAACTCTGCCAGACATTTCCAGCGGACCCTCACAATATATTTAGGCCTGCGAGGTCTGACCAGCTTCTTCCCCCTCCATTGAAGTGGTCAGTTGACAGCTCCGCCCCTCTCTTCACCCGAATGTCCAAGACATGCGTCCACATATCAGATGAAACAACAACAAAGTCAATCGGCCTAAGCTATCCTGGTGCCAAGAGCACACATGGGCACCTTTATGCTTGAACACGATGTTCGTTATGGACCATCCATGACGGGGGCAGAGTGCCCGACCAGGAGCACGTTGCTGCAACACCTCTGACAAATAGGCAGGGCCAACTCACTCATTATCTCAAAAGACGTTTCAAACAAAATCTAAAATTGACTGGTAGCCAGTGCAGAGCAGCCAGAGTCAGAGTCGTGTGTTCATACATGTGTTAACCTTTATTAGAGTCTATTTAACCCTTTGATGCATGAATTATGAAATCTTCAACCATGATTTTTTAAACAATTTTTTTCATTCATCTTTAGGTGTGAATGAAACCAATTTCATATTCACATATTTTTTGTAACATTTAATTTACACATAGTTTATTACATGTCCACCTCAGTGGGCAGCATGCATTCTGAACATGATATATGTTGGCTTGACTTACTGAAGTCCAAATGGAGGGGCTCAAATGCAATAAAGTCTTCAACAGCTGTGCTTAATAGCAAAAATAAATGAATAACAGTTTTGAGTACCTGTCCACTGTAGTGACCACTATGCATCAAAGGGTTAAGATTCAAGTTTTGGTTTTGCCTAAAATAATACCTCACACAGGTCTCTAACCCTCTGGAGACGGTTTGCTGCAGTACAAAGAAATCCCACAACAACAACGGTTGGAGCCCAGCCTCAGCTCTGTTAAAGTTAAAGTCCCACTGGTAGGGTTTAACCCCCCAATCCAGCTGCATAAAGCTGAGAGTCAAGCAAGGAGGCACCGGGTCTTTGGTATGACCCGGCCAGGATTTGAACCACGCTGATCTCCCAGTCCCAGTGCCGACACCCTACCACTAGACCACTGAGCTGGTCTGTAAGCACCGCCTTGCATCGGAGCCACATTGTTGAAACTATTCTATGGAGTGAAGCAGATTTAACAGCCTGTGGATGAGTTAATGGGCTGCTGAAACGCTGGTGCTTCAATGACACACTCCAGAGCCGCTGCTGCTGGTTCTACAGAACACCGTAAAATCTTAGTTCTCCTCGTTTTTACTCCCGTTTGGGAAGCTACAGAACCTTTTATGCTGGAACCCAAATGCCTTGCACTTTGGAGAAATAAACAATCAAGAGACCGTCAGAAGAAGACTTGAACAGCTGACTCCATGCAGGTTTTTGAGTGGGTTGTTGTGGCTGATAAAATTAGCTCAGCTACAACCGCACTGATGAACTTCTCTTCTGTCTCCTAACATCCTCTCTCTCCTTGTCTTGCTTCCTGCTGCTCTCGTTTCCCTTTCCCTTCCCTTCTCACACATTCAGAGATCCTAACAGAGATGCTAAATATAGCAGCATCCATTTCTGCACCAGCACTGGCACCAAAGGCCTTGGAGAAGGAAAGCTTCATTAGGTTGTGTGCAAGTGCATGCACACATTCTGCATTTCGTCTTCACTTCTCATCGTTTGTACAGCAGACGAATTCCAAGTGTGCAGACAAACATGCCTGCATACACAGCACACAGAGGAACTGACAAAGTGGGACACTCTGGCCCGCCTCCTTCAGGGTGTCTCTGCCAGCTCCGTGTGCCCTCTTATGTAAACAGGTCACTGTGAGTTCCTAACACTTGTGCAAATGGGAGACACGAGACACGATGCATGAACAGACTGAACATTCATGTTTGTGTGTTCAACACTGAACATGCAGACGTTTGAACATGTGACCTCTTCATGATGTTCTGAGCATTCCTCATACGGCATAAAAACAATCACTCATCAGACTGAACCGGTTTCTTTTGTCTTATTTCCCAAAACTAAATTAGACCCGATCAGCTGTTGGTGTTCCATCAGCGATTCCTTGGCATTATCAAGCAGCTGAATGGTTGGTTGGTAAACGGGAACGTTAGCTTTGAGAAGGACTGGCGTCTCTTCTGTTGGTTTCAGTTATAGTTTCAGATGAAAAACTTGGACCTGACTAAAACGTTTCCTCTCTAAATACAAATACATGGATGTCAGAAAGGCAACGTGACCTTTTCCTTTTATTTGCTTCGGTTTTTCTTACAGAATGCATTTCTCCACAGAGAAGGAATACAGGAAAAGAGCTAAAAGACATTTCTAAGCCAGGTGTCTCAGTGCTGACCATCTCAGCCCATCTTCACATGCAGTGAAACCCCGCGGTGGCGTTAACTTTGCAGGGTCGGGTGGGGTTTCAGAAGAACACCGTGGGCTCGCCATCACGTGTGACCGTGTGGTGGTGTGTCACAGCAGCATGTTGGTGTTCTTGGATGGGTGGGGCACACTCTGGGCTCTGTGCAGGCAGAGAGTGAGCGGCTAAAAAGGATCAATGCAAATTCTAATTGGTTTTCATCAACGGCTGAAAAAGGTGAAAATCAGCCAAAATATTAATGTTTGACCAGTGATGCTGAAGTAAGTCACAAACCAACACACATGAAAACACAGCCGCTGTCTAATCCTGGCCAGCCTAGTCTCTCAGTCTTCTGAATTCATTCATTCATGTGATACAGATCACATCACCTTCACAACCCAGTCCCACCTTCAGGGACGTATCAAGTCAAACTGTCCTTCAGGTAAACACAGACTGTCCTTCAGGTAAACACAGACTGTCCTTCAGGTAAACACAGACTGTCCTTCAGGTAAACACAGACTGTCCTTCAGGTAAACACAGACTGTCCTTCAGGTAAACACAGACTGTCCTTCAGGTAAACACAGACTTGTTCTCCAACTAAACTAAACTGCAACCACCGCAGACAGTACAGTGGACAGGAAATGAGCGATAATTCAAGCAAAGCGCTCCTCAGAGGAGTATGACAGTCATGTAGTCCTCCTGGCGTGTGTCACGGTAGGTGTGTGCTGATGGAGCGACAGGTGGGGGGGGGGTGGGGGGGTAGGCTAAAGCAAGAGAGAGTGAGTGCGTGACTGGGTGCATCCATGATTCTCATCTCCTTTGTTGGACACTCCTGGGCTGATCCCACACGTGCACACACACACACACACACACACACACACACACACACACACACACACACACACACACACACACACAGCAGCTCTTTTCAATGCAAAGCCTCCACCTTCTGACCAGTCCCCAGAAGAGAGAAGAGCCGTCTCCTCCAGCAAAGACCAGAACATCCTGCAGACAAGGGTTGTTGCACGCTTGTCCTGAATACAGCAGACACAACAAAGTCACCACACTCTTGAGCGACAGCACCACGTTTGAAGCTCTGAGGAGACCCGACAAGCGGATCAAAGAAGCAAATCACGAACCATCTACAGGAACTACCAAAGTACTAAGTAATCAGCCACACATTCTACTACAGACTATCCAGGAGAAGCCACCCCATGTAGACATGGTCTTCTGAAGATTCACAAGGAAGGACACCCCTCAGACCCATCAGCAGCATCAACTCGGTCATTGTAGAACCCCTCTCCGCCATCCTGGCCCCGCTGGTTGGAAAGACCCAACGCCATACAGAATCTGGTGGGTTTTGCATTCTTCTAGCTTCATCTACAGAAGAAACTTTCAACAGAAACAAACCTTTTAAACCTTTCTGACTTTTTAAAAGTGGTTCTAATTATTTAAAAGAATCACAACAACCATACGACAGCAAACCAATGCTTGATGATCGCTAACCATGTAAACAGGAGCTAAACGTTCATGTCCACATCCTCCAAACACACTCTGTAAACTCATCACTGCAGTTTCAAAGGAAGACAAGCGATTCAGCAGGCCCAGCAAACACACCTTTCTGAGTCAGGATGACTTCAGGGCTGATCAACAGCTTTACTGACCTTCCATGGCATACTTCATGTCCAGGGCAAAGAGGCTCCACATGATTTCAGCGCTGATCTTCCCCACACTCATCTCTTGTGGAAACCTGATGGGATCCAGACAGATTCCAGTCACACACCCTTCTGTACAGTTACTAGCTTATTGGCAGGCCCAGTCTGAATGTCTGTTTCATAACTAATGCTTCTCATAATCGATCTGTCATCCCAGTCCTAACCTGGTCCTACTGGGATGCATGCTTAAAGGTGTTGGGGGAAACATCACATCTGAGGAGACAGAGGGTGCTAATCTGCTGTGAAAGCCAATAGATTTTCAGTCAAAGCCTAAACGTGAGACGTCGGTGGTCTAATCACCCGTACCTTGGCAGGGCAATGGGAGCACGGATGACAAACCCTGAAAACTGTGAATATTTCTGGAAACGTTTAACTCCACCAGAAAGCGTCGTGTTTCCAACATCACACAGATGTGCTCTGGGATTTTCACCCAGCAGTAACGGTGGTAATGCAGAACGTTTACCCTGGTGGTTTGTGTCAGCTCAGTGCAAGAGAATCAAAGCAACTAAGGCTCTTTCTTTTCATTAGCAACAGTCTCCAGATTCTTCTGTCACTTGTCCTCAAAGCTGTGGCGCACCCACATGGCGCATCGTTTCTGAGACGAGGGGGAACTCCTCAGGGCTGGAATAAATGTAAATCTGCAGTCGGCACACATGCGTGCATCGTTTACAATCCACTGTTATGCTGGAAAAGGAAAAGACTTCTGCAAATACTCCAAAGGTTCTCACGCTTTCAACCTCAGAAGAAGAAGAAAACAGCTACAGCACACACTTTATTTTTCTAATTATGAGATCAATCCCACAGATCTGCCTAGTGGCTCCAAATCCCGACACGTTATTCCCACATAAATATTCCCAGCAGAGAGCAACAGACTGACAGCGACTTCCTTCTGGTTGCAGTGCTGATTACTTAGAGGCAACACCTCCGCTCACGGGCTTATGCTGCCAAAGCATCGAGCTCACCGCGGATCTGCAGCTGGACCAAGGAAAGGTGCAGGCACTGGGCATGAATATTGCAAACCTATCATCAGTCAGCGTGGGAGAGAAAGCTCAGGGCATAAACAAAGTAAGCATCGTAAATCAGCAGGAGAGGAAGAGATGGGAAGGACCAGAAAAATACTTACTTCTGAACTAGAATAAAACATTCAGGTCCTGTTTAGGGGTTATGAAATGTGTTCATGGCATCAGAACAGCCATTCAGAAAACACGAACCTTCCTCTGACTGTAGAGCAACATCATCTTACTCCGCTGTCCACTACGGCTGCACACATTAAAGCCTCAACATCAGGACCACCACCTTCAGCAATGGTAGCATATCAAAAACGGACCAACTGGGCCGTTAGGGCAGTGGGGATGTGATGCTTCCCACAGGTTCACCAGATCTCCTCAGGCTGGAACCTGAGTTAGCATGTGGGAGGGTTCCACTGAATCAAAGAGCTGCCTACTGGTTGATGACCGGCGTGTAGGCTGTGCGGTCCTCATCGATTACAGACACCATGAGGGTGATGAGTTTTGGCCAGAAGTCCAGATTCTTGATGGAAGGACCTTGCTCCTCTCGGGGAAGATCCTGCTTCCGACTCTGGAAAGAAAGAAGTTCAGACAACGAGCTGAAACTCATCAGAACAAAAGACCCAAACATGTTCTAAGATATCATCAAAGATCACCAGCGGTCCATGACCTAGCTAGTTAGACTCATGTCCAGCGTCTGCTGTTATTCAAAGCAGCTAACACACAGGTGAGGCAGAAACGTAGGCGTCACAATGGACAAAGGACACAGTGACCCTAACCCTAAACCTAACCCTAACCCAGCATCCCTCCGACTACTGGATGAGCCGTTCTTCCCCTGAGCCACGGCCACCTGTGAAGTCAACAACCTAAAAATGATCCCAGATGAGCCGAAACCTGGAAGAGTTCACTCAGAGAAATATCTAAAGTTTCAGTCCAACTGTTTCGGTCTGTTACCTCAGAGGCGGAGTTAACCCTTTGATGCATAATGGTCACTATAGTGGACAGGTACTCAAAATTGTTATTTCTTTATTTTTGCTATTAAGCACAGCTGATGAAGACTTTATTGCATGTGAGCCCCTCCATTTGGACTTCAGTAAGTCAAGCCACCATATTTCATGTTCAGAATGCACGCTGTCCACTGAGATGGGCATGTAATAAATTATTTGTAAATTAACAAAATGTTACAAAAAATATTTGTTGAAATTTGTTTCATTCACACATGAAGATGAATGAAAAAAAATGTTTAAAAAATCATGGTTGAAGATCCCATAATTCATGCATCAGAGGGTTAAAGGATGTTCGATAACATTTAAACTGTTGCTAAGCGACCTTAAAGTGGGTTTGTTGCTGCAGGAAAGCTAAAAAAAGATTTACACACATCATGTCCTTTAGTGAGGCAGCTAAATGTATCATTGTGGAACCGTTAGCTAATGACTCTGGATGCTAACATCATTATTAACCAGAGACTCTGGAGGCTAGTATCATTAATAATCAGAGAATCTGGATGCTAATATCATTAATAACCAGACTCTGGATGCTAGTGTCATCAATAACCAGAGACTCTGGATGCTAATATCATTAATAATCAGAGACTCTGGATGCTAATATCATTAATAACCAGACTCTGGATGCTAGTATCATTAATAACCAGACTCTGGATGCTAACATCATTAATAACCAGAGACTCTGGTTGCTAACATCGTTAATAACCAGAGACTCTGGATGCTAATATCATTAATAACCAGAGACTCTGGATGCTAATATCATTAATAATCAGAGAATCTGGATGCTAATATCATTAATAACCAGACTCTGGATGCTAATATCATTAATAATCAGAGAATCTGGATGCTAATATCATTAATAATCAGAGAATCTGGATGCTAATATCATTAATAGCCAGAGACTCTGGATGCTAATATCATTAATAATCAGAGAATCTGGATGCTAATATCATTAATAACCAGACTCTGGATGCTAGTATATTAATAACCAGACTCTGGTTGCTAACATCATTAATAACAAGATACTCTGGATGCTAATATCAGTAATAACCAGAGACTCTGGATGCTAATATCAGTAATAACCAGAGACTCTGGATGCTAATATCATTAGTAATCAGAGAATCTGGATGCTAATATCATTAATAACCAGACTCTGGATGCTAGTATCATTAACAACCAGAGACTCTGGATGCTAATATCATTAATAACCAGAGACTCTGGATGCTAGTATCATTAATAACCAGAGACTCTGGATGCTAACATCATTAATAACCACAGAGACTCTGGATGCTAATATCATTAATAACCAGAGACTCTGGATGCTAGTATCATTAATAACCAGAGACTCTGGATGCTAGTATCATTAGTAATCAGAGAATCTGCATGCTAGTATCATTAACAACCAGACTCTGGATGCTAACATCATTAATAACCAGAGACTCTGGATGCTAACATCATTAATAACCAGAGACTCTGAATGCTAATATCATTAATAACCAGAGACTCTGGATGCTAGTATCATTAATAATCAGAGACTCTGGGTGCTGACATCATTAATAACCAGAGACTCTGGATGCTAATGTCATTAATAACCAGAGACTCTGGATGCTAATATAATTAATAACCAGAGACTCTGGATGCTAGTATCATTAATAATCAGAGACTCTGGATGCTAACATCATTAATAACCAGAGACTCTGGATGCTAACATCATTAATAACCAGATACTCTGGATGCTAACATCATTAATAACCAGAGACTCTGGATGGTAACATCATTAATAACCAGATACTCTGGATGCTAATATCATTATTAACCAGAGACTCTGGATGCTAGTATCATTAATAACCAGATACTCTGGATGCTAATATCATTATTAACCAGAGACTCTGGATGCTAGTATCATTAATAACCAGAGACTCTGGATGCTAATATCATTAATAACCAGAGACTCTGGATGCTAATATCATTAATAACCAGAGACTCTGGATGCTAATATCATTAATAACCAGAGACTCTGGATGCTAGTATCATTAGTAATCAGAGAATCTGGATGCTAATATCATTAATAACCAGACTCTGGATGCTAGAATCATTAACAACCAGAGACTCTGGATGCTAATATCATTAATAACCAGAGACTCTGGATGCTAATATCATTAATAACCAGAGACTCTGGATGCTAGTATCATTAGTAATCAGAGAATCTGAATGCTAATATCATTAATAACCAGACTCTGGATGCTAATATCATTAATAACCAGAGACTCTGGATGCTAGTATCATTAATAACAAGAGACTCTGGATGCTAATATCATTATTAACCAGAGACTCTGGATGCTAGTATCATTAATAACCAGAGACTCTGGATGCTAACACTTTAATAACCAGAGACTCTGGATGCTAGTATCATTAATAATCTGAGACTCTGGATGCTAACATCATTAATAACCAGAGACTCTGGATGCTAATATCATTATTAACCAGAGACTCTGGATGCTAGTATCATTAATAACCAGAGACTCTGGATGCTAACACTTTAATAACCAGAGACTCTGGATGCTAGTATCATTAATAATCAGAGACTCTGGATGCTAACATCATTAATAACCAGAGACTCTGGATGCTAGTATCATTAATAATCACAGACTCTGGATGCTAACATCATTGATAACCAGACACTCTGGATGCTAATATCATTATTAACCAGAGACTCTGGATGCCAATATCCTTAATAATCACAGACTCTGGATGCTAACATCATTAATAACCAGAGACTCTGGATACTAGTATCATTAATAATCACAGACTCTGGATGCTAACATCATTAATAACCAGACACTCTGGATGTTAATATCATTATTAACCAGAGACTCTGGATGCTAATATCATTAATAACCAGAGACTCTGGATGCTAGTATCATTAACAACGAGAGACTCTGGATATTAATATCATTAATAACCAAAGACTCTGGATGCTAGTATCATTAACAACCAGAGACTCTGGATGCTAATATCATTAATAACCAGAGACTCTGGATGCTAACATCATTAATAACCAGAGACTCTGGATGCTAGTATCATTAATAATCAGATTCTGGATGCTAATATCATTAATAATCAGAGACTCTGGATGCTAACATCATTAATAACCAGAGACTCTGGATGCTAGTATCATTAACAACCAGAGACTCTGGATGATAGTATCATTAACAACCAGAGACTCTGGATGCTAATATCATTAATAACCAGAGACTCTGGATGCTAGTATCATTAACAACCAGAGACTCTGGATGCTAATATCATTAATAACCAGAGACTCTGGATGCTAACATCATTAATAACCAGAGACTCTGGATGCTAGTATCATTAATGATCAGAATCTGAATGCTAATATCATTAATAATCAGAGACTCTGGATGCTAACATCATTAATAACCAGAATCTCTGGATGCTAATATCATTATTAACCAGAGACTCTGGATGCTAATATAATTAATAACCAGATACTCTGGATGCTAGTATCATTAACAACCAGAGACTCTGGATGCTAATATCATTAATAACCAGAGACTCTGGATGTTAGTATCATTAACAACCAGAGACTCTGAATGCTAATATCATTAATAACCAGAGACTCTGGATGCTAGTATCATTAATAATCAGACTCTGGATGCTAATATCATTAATAATCAGACTCTGGATGCTAATATCATTAATAACAAGAGACTGTGGGTGCTAATATCATTAATAACCAGAGACTCTGGATGCTAGTATCATTAACAACCAGAGACTCTGGATGCTAATATCATTAATAACCAGAGACTCTGGATGCTAACATCATTAATAACCAGAGACTCTGGATGCTAGTATCATTAATAATCAGACTCTGGATGCTAATATCATTAATAACCAGAGACTCTGGATGCTACTATCATTAATAACCAGAGACTCTGGATGCTGATATCAATAATAACCAGAGACTCTGGATGCTAGAATCATTAATAATCAGACTCTGGATGCTAATGTCATTAATAACCAGAGACTCTGGATGCTGACATCATTAATAACCAGAGACTCTGGATGCTAGTATCATTAATAATCAGACTCTGGATGCTAATATCATTAATAACCAGAGACTCTGGATGCTGATCTCATTAATAATCAGAGTCTCTGGATGCTAGTATCATTAGTAATAAGAGAATCTGGATGCTAATATCATTAATAACCAGACGCTGGCTGCTAGTATCATTAATAACTACAGACTATGGATGCTAGTATCATTAACAACCAGAGACTGTGGATGCTAATATCATTAATAACTACAGACTCTGGATGCTAGTATCATTAACAACCAGAGACTCTGGATGCTAATATTATTAATAACCAGAGACTCTGGATGCTAATATCTTTATTAACCAGAGACTCTGGATGCTGATATCATTAATAACCAGAGACTCTGGATGCTAGTATCATTAATAATCAGACTCTGGATGCTAATATCATTAATAACCAGAGACTCTGGATGCTGATATCATTAATAATCAGAGTCTCTGGATGCTAGTAT